ATTAAAAGCTAAAAATACATTTATTCAAATATTATTATATATATTAAAGTAATAAATATATTATATATTGGGCGGCACAGTGCCTCAGTGGTTAGCACCATCGCCTCGGTTCGAGCCCCGGCTGGGTCAGTTGGCATTTCTGTGTGGAGTTTGCATGTTCCCCCTGTGTTCATGTGTGTTTCCTCCGGGTGCTCCGGTTTCCCCCACAGTCCAAACACATGGTATAGCGGAATTGATTAACTAAATTGTCGTAGTGTATGTGTGTGTGTCTGTGTGTCTGTGTGTGTGTGTGTGTGTGTGTGTGTGTGTGTTTGTGTGTGTGAATGTGAGAGTGTCGGGTGTTTCCCAGTACTGCGTTGGAGCTGGAAAGGCATCAACTGTGTAAAATATATGCTGGATAAGTTGGCGGTTCATTCCGCTGTGGTGACCCCTGATGAATAAAGGGACTAAGCAGAAGGAAAATGATGTAGGATGAATATTATATATTACAATTCTCCCACATGATCTTCAATACAGTGTTCAAAAACTTTATTCTCTTCGATCACAGTTTCCATCCAGATCATTGTGTTTAGCTCATTCTGCAGCTGATTCCCCCAATTCTGCTTTTAATTTCACACAGAGCCTTTTTTTGTTGGCAAACTTCAAGGAGCAAACATTCGGCTCTTTGTTTTGATTAAGGTTTCTTTGTTTCTCTGTGAATCAGCATGTAGCCGACCAGCATTTCTGTCCAAAAGTGTCCCAGCATGCAGCGCTTCAGCAGGGCCTCTGGAGAATCACATCTGTTTTTGTGCTGAAATGTTGAATTGTTAAAGGGGTCGAAGCGTTTCAGAGAGCTTCAGTGCTGGACAGAGGAACACTGTTGGACAGACGGACAGGAAAACACTAGACTTTCACTCTCTCAGTCATCAATCACAGTCACACTGAGCTCATTTCACTCAGGACTGAAATCTGGAGGCCGTTGAGTTTAGAGAAACCCGTCTCAGACGATCTGACTGTATGTATTTGCAATAGTGATTGAGTGTTTTAGCTGTGAAATAAAAAGCTTGATTTACCCTATTTGTACTGCTCAGTTTGAGCTTAAAGTCCCAACCCAGGCTCATTCTGAAAATGTACCCCAATATACATTTCTGGAGAGCGCCAAATACATCCCAGGAGATACATTTTTTTGCCGTTTTTGTTTTCACGAATCCACCAGAGGCTGCTGTGTACGCTTATTCAGATCTCAAATGTCACTGTTATACGATGACTTGCCTAATCACCTTAACTTTACCCTAATTGATCTAGTTAAGCCTTTAAATGTCACTTTAAGCTGTATAGAAGTGTCTTGAAGAATATCTAGTCTAATATTATTTACTGTCATCATGGCAAAGATAAAATAAATCAGTAATTAGAGATGTGTTACTAGCATGAATTAGCATGATTCTAGCATGTATTAGCATGTTGTTAGCATGATTCTAGCATTAATTAGCATGTTACTAGCATCATTCTAACATAAATTAGCATGCTGTTAGCATGATATTAGCATTAATTAGCATGTCACTAATATGATTCTAGCATTAATTAGCATGTTGTTAACATGAGTCTAGCATGAATTAGCTTGTTTGCATGAATTAGCTTGTTAGCATGATTTAGCATGTTGTTAGCATGATTCTAGCATGACTTTGCATGTTACTAGTATGATTATTTATTTTAATAAAAATTTAAAAACAAAAAATACATTTATAAAAAAATATATATATATATATGGATTAAAAAAGCATTTAAAAAATATAAATTTTTATTTTCCACCAAATAAAATAAAAAATTAAAAGCTAAAAATACATTTCTTCAAATATTATTATATATATTCAAGTAATAAATATATTATATATTGGGCGGCACAGTGCCTCAGTGGTTAGCACCATCACCTCGGTTCGAGCCCCGGCTGGGTCAGTTGGCATAGTTATTAAAACTATTGTGTTTAGAAATGTGAGAAAATCTCATAATTGTACAGAAATCGGGGCTAATAATTCAGATATGCTAATAATTCTGACTTCATCTGTATAACTAATGCATTGATTAATATTATCAGTGGCTGGTTTGAGTGATGCGTGTGTTCAGTCTGATCTGCAGTCAGACGTGTGACTGCTCGCTGTCGTTTCTCACACTTCGCTGATCCACTAATAGATGTTGAGGCTCATGAAGGCTCGCGCTTCGCTAAACTGCGGCCTAATTACAGTCACTTAACTAGTGCTGCTCTGTTTGCTCGCTTGTCACTGTATTCAATTATTTTAATCAGCATGACATTAAGATGATAATGCAAAGGCACAACGGTTTAGCAAAATGCCACCAAGTACCCAACATTTTGTGTTTAAAGGATTGATGTCTTGGCTAAAACAAGGCTAATCTTGGGCTGTCAGTGAAAATGTAATAGTAGTCTGACAATTATAAGAGTCAATAATCTAATTTTCAAACAGATTTCACGTGTGCAGTCATTCATGCCCATCTATTTGAGTCTATTTTTTGAGATTTTTTTACTGACCAAACAAATTTAGCTTTGTTTTAGCCGAGACGTCTGTTTAAGTGTCTAATAGACTCCTTTTAAACACAAAAATGCTTGCTGTGAGTGTTTTGAGCAGGTGAATGAGGAGTTTGTGTGGTGTGCTTCTTGACTATATTTCAGTATTTTACAAATAAACCGTAAAAAATGCTGGGTTCCACACAATTCATTCATTCATTCATTTTCTTGTCGGCTTAGTCCCTTTATTAATCTGGGGTCGCCACAGTGGAATGAACCGCCAACTTATCCAGCATATGTTTTACACAGCGGATGCCCTTCCAGGTGCAACCCATCACTGGAAAACATCCATACACTCTCATTCTCACACACATACACTACGGACAATTTAACCAATTCACCTGTCCCAGATGTGTTTGGACTGTGGGGGCTCGAACCAGTGACCTTCTTGCTGTGAGGCGATCGTGCTAACCACTGAGCCACCGTGCCGCCCTCCACACAATTCATTCAGGTTTTCCACAAATCGGTTAACTTAAATTTAAGTGCAGTGAACATAAAACAATTAAGTTGTCCTAAAGAAATCTCAAAAATTGTGTTGAATGAGCTCATTTTACAGAAGTAGTTTGAACAATCATAAATTAATTATAACTGGATTACACAGCCATTTAAATTTGATCTACGCTCATCGGCCACTTTATTAGGTACACCTGACTAGTACCAGGTTGGACCCTTTTTGCCTTCAGAACTGCCTTAATCCTTCACGGCACAGATTAAACAAGCTACTGTTAATATTCCTCAGAGATTTTGCTCCATATTGACATGCCAATCTCCCGTTCCACCACATCCCAAAGGTGCTCTATTGGATTGAGTTCTGCTGACTGTGGAGGCCATTTGAGTACAGTGAACTCATTGGCATGTTCAAGAAACCAGTCTGAGATGATTCACGCTTTATGATATGGTGCGTTATACTTTAATAATACTCAGGAAGGCTATGGCGTTGACATGACGCTCGATTGGTACTGATGGGCTCAAAGTGTGCCAAGAAAATATCCCCCACACCATTACACCACCACCACCAGCCTGAAGTGTTAATACAACAGTTGAATGGAGCCTTTGTGAATTGTAGCCTCAGTTTCCTGTTCTTAGCTGACAGGTGCGGCACCCGGTGTGGTCTTCTGCTGCTGTAGCCCATCCGCCTCAAGGTTGGCCGTGTTGTGTGTTCAGAGATGCTCTTCTGCAGAGCTCGGTTGTAACGAGTGCTTATTTGAGTTACTGTTGCCTTTCTATCAGCTGGAACCAGTCTGGCCATTCTCCTCTGACATCAACAAGGCATTTGCGCCCACAGAACTGCCGCTCACTGGATATTTCCTCTTTTTCAGATCATTCTCTGTAAACCCTAGAGATGGTTGTGCGTGAAAATCCAAGCAGATCAGCAGTTTCTGAAATACTCAGGTCAGCCCGTCTGGCACCAACAACCATGCCACATTCAAAGTCTCTTAAATCCCCTTTCTTCTCCATTCTGATGCTCGGTTTGAACTGCAGCAGATCATCTTGACCATGTCTACATGCCTAAATGCATTGAGTTGATGCCATGTGATCGGCTGATTAGAATTTTGCGTTAACATGCAGTTAGACAGGTGTACCTAATAAAGTGGCCGGCGAGTGTGTATACAGTACACTATTTATGACAGAATGATATTTTATTTTTTGACACTCCAAAAGACACACATTATAATTAATGCTATATCTGTTTAGTTTTTGAGCGGGGAAATGAGTTCTGTTGCTCAGACGTGTTGCATCATAAACTTGTTAAATGGTTTGTGTTTCTCCAGGCGGCTTTATTGCTGTTCTTCATCAGCGCTTCATAAAAGGTGTACAAACCCAATGTACATCATGTCAGCATTCACAATAACAATGAACTCTACCCTATCTGTTCCACTCACACACACACACACACATGTTTGCAGCTGAAAGTGTGACTGTGATCATAGATCCAGCATATGTTCATGGATGTGACACAAGCTCTCAGACTCCAGGCGTCCCTGCTGTCTCTCAGACTATAAATAGTGTTTTTCTCCATGCAGCGGCGGCGGGTGACATTTCATCTGTTCTGCTTTCCTCCCACACACATTCACACCTGCAGACCTGACACACACAACACAGCGGTCTGAATCAGCTCTTATTGTGTGCTTCATTAATAATGCTGGACACAGTCACGTCTGATCAGATCAAACACGCTTACTGACATTTACTGTGTTCACAAGTACACGCTAACATGCTGTTACAGCCCTGTGCACTACTGAATGCACTGTTTACACTGTGGACAGCATGGAAATGGTCCATATTTGTAGTCTGTTTATTTCTTTTATTTCTATCATACATCCATTATCAAATCTTCTATTTCTTTCCATCCATCCAACTGTTGAGTTTGGTGCTGAAAAGCCTCATTTCACGTTTCACATGTTTAACATTTTTCTTAATCTCATGTGTTGCTCTTTGACAGGTATGAGCGCGTGCCTGTGATTTTGGTGGGCAATAAGGTGGACCTGGACAACGAGCGCGAGGTTTCGTCGAGCGAGGGTCAGGCTCTGGCTGAGGAATGGGGCTGTCCGTTCATGGAGACTTCGGCCAAGAGCAAGACTATGGTGGACGAACTGTTCTCGGAGATCGTCAGGCAGATGGACTACGCTTCTCAGCCGGATAAAGAAGACCCGTGCTGCTCCTCCTGCAATATACAATAACCCCTCGCAATCAGGAAACACAGGGGGCTTTTCAACATGGAGGTCATCGCAGAAGTGCTGCATCCGTTCTAACACACGTCACAACATGTGAACAGCGTTTACACACTACAGAACGCTGCACATACAGCCATTATTATAATGGTGCTTAGAGAAGATGTAGGTGAGAAATGCACGAGTTTGCAAAAATGATCCCAAAAAAACGTTGGAAAAATAGAACTTTTAGGAATCTCTTCTAGTCCGTTGATTTTATTGGGAATATGGTGCATTGGAAATGGATGAGAAATCCTAACTTTTTAATTCCATTGATTTCAATGGGAGTGAATGATGAAATGAAAATGAATAATGCAGCGAGTTGTGAAAGCCGTATCAGGAAGAGTTTGAAAAGATCATTTTTAGGCAACACTAAACCCAGTTATTTTAACGGTAAGAGTGTATCTCAGAGAAACAAGTGAAACTTTACATGGGTTTGCATAAGCTGTGCAAACAAAAGGTGGGCAAATGCAGACAATGTTAAATCCATTGATTTCAATGGGAATGGGACGAAAGCTGAGCTGGGAAACTTTTGCATCACGACAGATCCACTTATTTCATTCAGAATGGTGCACTGCAGAAAATGTGTCAGAAAAAATGCATGGAAATCTGTGCCAACAAAACATTTGAAAACGAAAACTTTAGGCAATGCAGAAATGTGATTGATTTCAATGGTAAACCACAAAAACCGAGATGTAAAACACGAAGGGAACGTATTGCAAGCAGAAATAATGAAAATGTCACTTTTATTTGATGCTGCAAATTTAACCATTTAGATGGGAATAATGCACCGCATAGATATTCTGCAGACAAATTCACAAAATCAAATTTCACAAAATCACAACTCAAATGCTACATATCCATTGATTTCAATGAGAATGATGCATTGCGGAGACTTACAGTAGATGAAAATGCATGAGTTCAGGAAGGTTTCACTAACAAAAGTTGAAAAAAAGAAACCTAATGGCTTGTTTCATCCAAAAAAGAAAGTTATGCCAAAAAAGGCATCCTAGATGCATATGACCATTTTGAGGGATGCAAACAAAAACAATGCTCCTGTTTTACATTTTCAATTTCCATAGCTTTCGAGAATCCAAAAACAGCCACATATTGAGAACATTTACATGGACACCAATAATCCGATTAAGACAATACTCTGATTAAGAGTCGACCATGTAAACAGAGATTTTTGATGAATTGAATCTGATTAAGGTCATAATCGAACTAAACAGAAATGAATTAAAATGTGGAGGACGCCGATTTAAGTCACATTATTGAAGTGCAGTATAAACATATAAACAACGCAGTCAAACTATTACTGTCATATATGACTTTTTGTTGCATTTTGCAACAGGATAGTCCACAGACACACACACACACACACACACACACACACACACACACACATACACACACATGGCTGTTTGACACTATTCTTTGCACCTACCGAGTCCATGAAGGACCACAGACACCTGCATCGTGAAATGCTGAGTTTTTTTTTCTCTCATTCAGCATGCGATATGAATTTTCATTAAAACAGCACTCTTCCAGCAGTTCATACTCACATCCAATATCTCGTTTGTCATGGTGGCATGCATGAAATGTTTTTTAACTGCAGTTAAAGTCCACAAATTAAGAATGAATCACCTGAAGTTACATGAAACTCCAAAGGAAACGTGGATAGCGCGGTGATGCAATGACCTTAATCGAATTATTTGCTGTAACATGTAAAACGGGATCATAAAGGGAACATTCAAAAAGCAACTCATGTTAACACCTTCGTCTTATTATTGTCTTAATTAGATTAGGGGAAATTATTCCATTACTGATGTCCATGCAAACATAAGCTGCGTCCCAAACAGCATACTATGCACTCATGCACTATGTACTTATGCACTTACACACTCAACAGCATAATATATGTATGTAGTGTCATCCCAAATGGCACGCTAATGTTTTTTACTAAGTGGAAATTCAAACCGTTTCCCTGATGACGTTTGACGGTTGCCAAATCAGTGAAATAAACGACCAAATTATCAAATAATACCTGCCGTGAGTATAACTGCATTCACCATCGGGAGGCGCTATAATCACTCTCGCAGGAGAATTTTGCTTTCACCATCCAAAATAAATAAAGTTATCCAACATGTGCCCCTGATAGCACCGCCCCTTCCGCTACGTGAGCAAACCTGCGGTCGGTGAGTGCGTGAAGTGTCCATCATTACACACTTCACTTTAACGACTGAATGAGTGCATCATCCGGGTAATTAAAGTGCTCTTATTATTTTTAGAGTTTTCAGTGTGAACACAATACTTACACTATTTATACTACAAAATGGCGTAGAATAGTGCATAAGTATGCGATTTGGGACGTAGCTATAGTCATTGTTGTGATAGCAGCGGTTTTAACATGAACTTATGACTGAATTGCCTCATGTGACAGCTATGAAATAGTTTGATAACAAGCATGGACCACTGACATGACCAGACTGAAATGGTCTTTATGACTTACTTTTTTCTCAAATCCAGTCAAAGTTATTTTCAAAATTATATTGAGCTTTTCCAGCTCTAAAGTGTCAAATGATGTCTGTTTATTATCAGCAGTCCAAAAGAAGTCCAGTAAAGCACATCTATTCATAATAAAGTGCCTCACATGGCTCCAATGAGTGAATAAAGCTCTCCTGTAGTGAACCCATGCATCTCTGTAAGAAAATAATGTGGATTTAAATCTGTATAATGCGTTTGTGTTTTGTCTGTCTCTCTTCACTTCGCATGCACTTTACACTCAAGAGATAGAAAAACACACTCCTGTCCTGCTGGTGGCACTAATGCAGCCAAAAATACACCACAGAAGGAGAAGAAGAAGACCGGAAGTTAGACTAAAAACTGTTTGGAAAGATTTGAATGCTTGGATTCACTACAGGAGAGCTTTACTCATGACCCAAAGCCATATAAGGCACTTTGTGTTATGGATGTATGTGCTTTATTAAAGCTAGAAAAGCCCAATATCATTTGCTTAATAACTGACTGGATTCAACTGAAAGAAGGAAGTCATCTAGGATGCCTTGAGGGTGAGTAAATGATGGGATTATTTCAGTTTTTGGATGAACTAACCATTTAAGCAACCCTGCACATTTTTGGATTTCATTGGGAATGGATTATCAAGAGTTTGTGCAAGCAAAAGTATAAAAAAAACTCCCCATAGCATCTGTTGAGCTCCTAGAAATTGAGTTCACTGCATTCCTGCTTATGACCCGACACCTTCACAGCCTTCTTTAGTGTGTAAACGCCTTAATAACACAAGGCTCATTGCAAATACGTGACTCAGCCTACATATTTTGTGAAATGTAAAATACATCGCTCTGGGTACATTTTATTGCACATTTCAGATGACACATCCACTAGAGGGCGCTGTCTACATCTTTGCTAATTTGAAATGCATTAGTTGAGGGGCCGATCAAACCAAACGCACATTTCCGTTCCACAAATGTGAGGCGCACCACTCTGCCTTTTTGTTGACAAGAAAAAAAAGAGCGAGGTCCGCTTTTTTTATGTCACAAGGCAATGACTGAATCAGCTGGGTATTGTTTGAGAGTGTTGCTGTTGGTATTAATATAATTTTAATAATTAAAAATATTGTGATATTCAAGATTTGTGAGTCATACAGCTCCGGATATCTCAAAACAGCAACCACAAGTCTCTCCTCCATCTTCAAAAGTCTCCGTTGTTGTCTTGACAACACAAAAACTGCAGGCACTTCAACAGAAACCCCGCCTCTGCTTCCCCGTGATTGGAGAATTAAAAAGACGCGAGTGACGTAATGTGCTTTTTCCGCTCAGTTGACTTTTTTTTGGCAAAAACGCGCGGCGCAGCAGGCGGTTAAAACATTAGGCGAGCAGGGCGCATAAGCAGCGAGCAAAATGCTCGCACCTGTTAGTAAACCATTCAAAAGAGGCGCCTCTCGACGCATAAACCGCTTTTGGTGTAATCGACCCCTTGGGGTGTGATTTGTCGCACGTTTCAGATACACATCCTTCTTGTACACCTCCATGAGAGGCTGGCGTTTGTTGTACAGATCAGCTAGCGAACCACTAAGCTAAACCCTTCCCTAAACCCAACCAATAGTGTTTTCAAAAGCAAATTAAGAGAAAAGCATACTGCAACCATGCAGTTTTACTTTGATTTTACATTGCTTTAATCTCTTTTGTGGAAGCATGCTTCAAACCCGAGCGATCTGCAGCAGAACATCATACAAAGCGAGCTATGAGAACACTGACCACACTAGAAAAGTTGCCCATATGGAGATAGATACGTAACGCAAACATAATTATTACAAATCATAGACTGAGTTAAGTTGTTTTGTGTTGTTTATTTAGGAACTGCACAAAAATAATCATGTATTTGTCAATAATATATCCTGTAAATATCATTAGTGTGAAAAGGAACAAAAGTTGCTGCCCCCTAGTGTTCATTTTACTTTGAAAATGCAGTCAAACGTATGTTGAACTAAAAAGTTTTTTGCAGTTTCACAAATATGTAGGCTGGAGCCTGTATTTCCATTGTGCCTGTGTTGCAATTATGATGAACGATTAGCATAGAAACTGTAAAAAAAAAAAGGTCAAGGGGATCTGAAAGTGCACCATACTCGAGTCTTTGGTTTCCCCGCATGTTTTGAACACGATCATTCTGAGTTTGAGGCTGTTTGCGTTGACTTCGCCGTTTAGTTTGCACATATAGAACCTGATGTCTTAAACTGCCATTAATAAAGAGCCAGAATGAGCTAGTTTTTGTTCTTCCAGTGTGACGCTGAGAGACGTTTGGGAGGTTCACTTGCGGATCCACGGCTTTTTTGAGGGACGTTTTCTTTGCGGAAGCCAAATAGGATGCTGAGAAGCACTTTTCTTTTGTAACGTCTGTTGTGTCTGTTTTGATTTATGAAACTGCTGGGAATATTCCGCTGATTATGTTGT